GACAATAATGTCAGTGAAGTACTTGGAATAAATGAAATATGAGGTGAAGAAATGGATGTAAATTTAAATTGTTTCGTATTACAAGTTTTCTGAAATGTTATGTTTAAATAAGCAAATGAGGCATTATCTAATTAAATTCACACTAATTACATAAATACATACATTTCCAGAATGAAATTAATACATACATTTCCAGAAATCTAAACACTGGATAAAGCCAGGTTTATTCTTGTTTCATTTTGTTGATATCTAAGAGTTAAAGGTTTTACAGGATTTTGGATATCTCTTTTTCAGAAAATAATGTCAACAGCCAAAAAAAACCAAAAAAAAAACATATCCCCAATGTTTTTAGGAATAACATTAAAATATAGATTAAAATCTAAAGGGATTTCTGGCACAGTGCAGGAGAAAAAACTCATTTTGAGAAAAAAAAGTTAAGTATTGTTATCTACAGATGCAAATAGGAAAATTTAATAAAATAAAAACTGTAAAAAAACTTTTTTAAAAAACACATTTTTACCTGTTGAGAAACACATGACTTGGCCGCATCTGCCGCTCTCATAATACTTTTTGCAAACTCTTGCTCTGTAAACACACAATATGATTTTCATTATCCCACAATGCTCCGAATCATAATGGTTGAAGAAAGAGGTGAATGGAAAATACGATTGACTGATAGAAATGGTTTGCATCTGCATTGATGGACACAGAACAGGGTGTTTCAAAATATCAATACAACTGTGAGCGGATATTAGGTGACATAACATACTGTAACCCATTAGCATTACAGCTCAATGGAAAATAGGATATTCATCATCACTGATTCCAGGAATACCACACCGACTCATGTATTACAGTGGCAATGTACTGTATGCTTTCCCTGTTCTGTTCATTCATTATTACTGACGCCTGGCCTTGGCTCTGTTTCATATTTTGAGCATAAGTACTGTTTCTTATTGCTCTGGCCATATATCATACTTTAGGTTATAGCAAAAATATCCAATATTTCTGCTACAGGTTATAATTGGTTTGTATGCTGATACATGAAACCTCTTCATTTTCTTGTTGTGGCCCTAAAAATGGGCTAGTAGTTTGTCTCAGTATTGGGTGTAAAGGCATTAGACACATGCAGGAACCTATATGTATCCTTCCACTAGAGGGCGCTGTGAGAGACGACGTGTTAAAGGAGACATATTATGCCCCTTTTTACAATATGTAATATAAGTCTCTGGAGTCCCCAGAATGTGTCTGTGAAATTTCAGCTCAAAATACTCCACAGATCATTTATTATATCATTTTGAAAATGCCTATTTTGAGTGGAAGCAGAAACACGCTGTTTTTCCTGCCTGTCTCTTTAAATGCAAATGAGCTGCTGTTCCCCGCCCTTTTTCCAGAATAGAGCTGCGCCATTACAGCTTGTACCTGCTAACAGTTGGTAATGTCTGTGGAGGTAAACAGCTGGGAAATAAATCGCATGTTTATTTTAGATCTGTGTGGCAGCAGCAATATACATTAATTAAATCAATAAATCCGCTGCTGTCTTGTCTCTGAGGCTGGGACTCTAAATAGTGTTCTGTGCTCGTCTGTGCAGCCAAAGACAGAACAGTTAGCATGTTTTGCTCAAACTTTCGTCATGGCATTAGAACTAGTACACCGTTGTTGCTTGTGACAACACAATGACGGCGCCATGTGTGGAAACTCACAGATTAAGGGCCGGTAATATTATAATGAGATCCCTTTGCAAC